AAATTAGTGCACACACACACAGAGAGGGGGTGGGCCCAAAAAACTTTGTTCGTTTATGGTCTTCTTGGGTTTTGAGGGGAATTAAATGCTGTTGTTGAGACATGCCAAGATGAAAGAGGGAGGCACAGTATATTATGTATACACAAGGGTCGCGAAAAGGGGCAGTAGGGGTGGGGATGAAATAGCCCTAAAGATGGAACCCTTGTGCCCTACAAATGACAATACGTGTTCCCTCACTAGGGTACTGCCATACTCACATTAGCTTTCCTGGCTAAGTGTCAGTGCTTTAATGAATTGAATGGCATAAACGGTCAAATAGCCCATGCAAAATTATTATTGTACGCGACAAATATTCAGGGACCTCCCATCTCCTAAGTGTCAGTATAAACTTTGGGAATATATAATAACTTAAATTAGATATATATATATATATTCTCTCTAATGTCCATCCATGATACACCACACAAACTTTGATTTTAAGTAGTGAGAATGTACTGATATTATGATTATGGACTGAGGTTGGTGCGAGCTATAGAAGTGGGGTTTCTGTAGTGATATTATATCATATATGTGTGTTGAATTGAGAATGTTATTAGAGAGGGAGGGAGAGTGAGGGTGTATATATATAAATGAGGGAAAGTGGTCATTATAGGGAGCCATTGATGAAGGGTAGCAGAAAGCTATGATTATTTTGGCATTAAATGTATGGTTGATAGCAATATACCATCTTTTCCGTGCCAACTTGATACTGCCTCGATTCACTCTTTTTCCCCCCATTTTCATAGTGGGATGCTACTCCTTCTCTTAAACTAACATATCTTCCAAACCTATCTGTGACTGTGTCAATGGGCGGCTAGCTGCATTATAATTAAAACCACAGAGTCTGTGGTTTATATAAACCTACTTTGGAATTAGGAAAAGATATGTGTAGTAAATTAAGGGAAAAAGAAGGGGGGGTGGGGAGAGTACGTACTGGAGAGTGTGGAATTATATATAATAATGGAAGAAGAACGAGTGAAAAGCAGAGATGGAGACGGGAATTGATTAATATTGTGGTATCTGTGAAGCGAACAATATTATTACGAAGTAGCCACACACGAATGTTAGACCAGAAATGAACACATTTCAGTGACAACCTTTAGCAGGGCCTTGTCATCATTAAATAAGTAGGACCAAAACCTTTGCTCTTCACACATATATAATTGTGGGGGCTATCTTACTTTTTTATTGCCGGCATATCTCTCGTCTATCTATCTTTTCAACCTCACCAACATAAGTACCCAAAAGCAGCACTTGGATCTCTTGATTATATATAAGTGGACTGGTCTAACTAGGATATCGATTCATATATTATAAATTAAGCAAAATAATAGAAGTATTAAATTATGCTGGTAAGTATGAGGTGGATATTTATGTGCGTGTGCTGGGTTCGGTGAGTGACAAGACGTCGGCATATATACCAATAGCCAGAGGTAGAGGCAATTAATTGATGTACATAGGAGTGTTTGACTTCCAAGTGCATTACCAACCTCGCAAAGAGGGGGGGGAAAAAAGAGCACGTTGAACTGATTCTTTAGTCTTTTTGTTTGATTATACCTCACTTGATTTTTATATACATGTGCATGGCTTATCCCTTGTTGTTTTTAGGTGAGTTCTTTTTGGATAGCATGTGAAAGCACCTTGGCCAAATGGGGCGGCTTCAATTCAGCTGCTCTTCCTCCTTTACGTCTTTTCATCTTTCTGTGATGAAAAGTGCTTATTATATTAAATCGGCAGGCTACATATATTTATACACACACACACACACATACATAATGCTAGCTCCTCTTAACCTTTCCTCTTAAAAAGGCATTGAACTCTTCATATGTTTTCTTCCAAGAGACTTTTAGATGAGAATCTGATGCATTTACTAATAACTGCTATCAGTAACCAATTAAACAGCAGGCGAAATTCAAGTTCATGACCGGCTATGATTAACTTCATATTAATTTAGGTTAAAGTGTTTTTTTTAAAAAAAACAGTCTAGTCATACTAAAAAAAAAAAAATACTTTTCGGTCTCTAATAGGACCAAGTGAGAGTAAATCTGATTTAACTATACGCGATTAGATATATATGAGATTATATGTAAATACAAGAAAGCTCTGTAGCATGCGTTCACATGGATAAAGATACGGATGCAGTGCTTGATTAAGAGATTATTATAGTGTGAGATAATATAAACATGTTTTTCTTTTTTGGCCTGAATACGAGTTCCCATTAAAATAGGGGAAAGAAACATATGTAGCACATAGTTAAGAAAAGAACTATAAACTCTTCTCCCCTCCAATCCACTCCCTCACGTTCAGACCGGAGTAAATAAGAAAAGAGCAGATAAAGGAGCAATTACGGTGGAAAAAAGGGAATCAGAATCAGATTCATACTAGTTAATTGTTTAAATCTTTTTGGTGCATTACCAAGTTACCAACTACGTACTACTAATTAATTAATTTTGTGTGCTTTAAGCTGTAAATTAATTACGAATCGCCACCACCATAGGGGAAAACTTGATGTGTCTCGAAGATAAATTTCAGTGCTGTTAAGCGTTAATAATCAAAGTTGCATCAGTATGTGTTAAGTTGGCTGGATTCCGAAATGTTTAATTTAGGCATTGGAGAGAATGAATGTATGATTGAGATGTGAAGTTAGATATATACGGAATATATATGGTGGGCGTACACACAGCTTTCACTTCTCTGCACCTCCATCATGTCAATCCCTTCTCATCAATTTTTAACTCTGTCTCTCATTTGAATGCGCATACACACACACACACACACAGCTCATTACACCAACAACCAAAAAATTATCGAAAGCTACCGTATTTTATATATATATAACTTTAATAATGTGTTGTTGTAACATAATTATGCAAAATTACAAGTTGTTCTATTATATAGGATGGTGCATATAGCTAATTAATTATATATTTATGGTCATTTCCAAATCGAACAAATTAAAGTGCGCCATTGATTCCGACAAGCATATATAGCATGTCTTGCTTTTGCAAGTTATGGAAAAGAATTAGAATACGCGGAAACCCTGTAGGAAATCTGAGCAATAAATAAAAATATATATATAGAGATATATATATATATATATATATATGCATGCTGCAGCAGCAGCCATTGTTGGCCACAAAGTGCAGAAAGCGAAGCACACGGATCAATATGAGGATAGATATACATGAAGATATATGTACAGACTTGGAAAAAAGGAAAAAAAAGAACAAGATAAGGAGATGAAGAAGACGACAAAAGGGGCAGCAAGCGAGAAGCATATACTCTACAAGATGAGAGAGAGAGAGAGAGAGGAATCATAATTATTTTAAAAAAATGAAAAAGGAAAAAAAATAGAGATGGTGTTGCTGGGGAAGTGGAGCTCCAAAAATTGCTGTCATCTGAGAAGTAGACAGAGGCAATAATGAAAGGCAGGATTTTGTTTCTGCAGATTCAAACAGGCCCCTCTCATGTAATGCATCCAAACACCTTTTACTTTTACTTCTCTCCTAATTCCGCTTTCCATTTCCCGTTATTCTTTTCTGCTGTTTGGCTTTTTCTGCATTTTTTCTTCTCTGCTTTCCATTTCGTACGCTCCCCATTGGCCATTACCAACAGCACCGCCCCCTCCCCATTTCTTTTGTTTTTTCCGCCCTTTCTCTGCTCCACCACTGTTGTTCCATTCCTCATATCCGGCTTTTTTCTTCATCTTTGACTTCTATTCCCTTATTCTATTTTTTCATTCCGTATATAAGTGAGTTTTGATGTCTTTATTGTAGCAAAGAGGTTCAAATGAGTTGAGTCTTCAAACTCATCTTGATTGGTTTTGCAGCTCACGAAGATATTTATAAATTACCCACTAACCAATTTTCACATTGAAGACGGCATATGATTTCTTAAAATCCTTTTTATTAATACAAATACATATATATTTTTTAAATTTAGGTCCATTTATTTTGTTAAATCCAGCTCTCTGATAAAATCCTGTCATGGGTCATTTTTATTATTGACATTGGCTCAAGAGAAAAGTTAAACTTTTCAAACAACAGAATTACTTTTTTTTTTACCTCTTACAACAAAGTAATTAGTTAAACCAAGGAAATTTTAAAATTTGTCCCAAGGCCGTCGCAAAAAAGGGACAGTGGTATGTGATATGTCATATGTGCATGCATTAATGTTGTTTAAGGAAGAAGAACAAGATGGTTGGAAGAGAAAGAACAAGAAAGTAGGATTACGAAAGAGGGATTTTGGCAAGCTTAAGAGGGGAGGAGGTATTATCGGTTAATTTTCCGTTTTGGGGCAATGTGCAGAATTTGCCAATTATAGCAATGAACGCCCCCCGCAAGTTATAAAAGAACAGTATCTTCTCAGCTCAACGCTCCCAAAAAAAAAAGGAATTACAATCAAATTTCATAAAATAAAAGTAATTACTAAAAAATTCTAATAACAACCTCAATAATCTATAATGACAAGTTTTATAATAAAAATGACAATTTTGAAGACTTATTTTTTAATTATTTTCTTTACTTGGGATCTTATTGTAATTCTCTAAAAGGAATCTGCCACCCTTCTCACTCTCTCTCCCTCCTTGTCCCATACGCTATTTTTGCTACTCTTTGTCTTCTAAATATAAAATTTATTACAAAATAAATTTTATATTTAGAATAAAAAAAGTATTAGTTATCAGTACCGCACTACCTATGAAGTGTCAGGACTAATCTATTATTACACAACACAAAATTTCATGCCCCTTTTTAATTAAATATATTCTTCAAATTACATCTCTGTTTCTTTACCAATGAACTGATGAAGTACTCCTCCGGTCCTAAATATAAGGCCCTTATACATACTAGTATAAGGGTCTTACATTTAGGACCGGAGGAGTATATGTTTATATGTATATCTATTTTAAATTGGGAAAAAAAAATCATATTTGTGAACTCTAAGCCAGTCTGATCAATAAAAAATAAATTGAAGGATCATGGTGACAAGATGAAGAAGAAAATAATTATATTTTACAGTACAATCCAATAAATTAATAAGCTCATTTCAATCCCAGCCGTGGAAATAGAATGACGTTGGGGTGAAAGAGCAATGCTTAACTAAAGTAATCAAGTCACTCTATGTGGAAGGATGGGTAATGGGTATGATGAGGGGTTCTGTTTCAAGAGAGGCTGGATCAGTGATCACTATGTCTTTAAGCGAATCCTTCTTGTTACGCTCTGTTTTTCTGAATGTGGGTAATGAACCAGAATTAGCAGAAGCAACGTCAGCTGAAGTTAGCGCTCTCGCTCTTTCTGCCAGCACATTCCAATCTGTTCTGCACAGAACAAACAGCATGAGGCAAGCACACGAGGCTTGAGCAGCAAGCAACCCTAGCCAGAGCCCAGCAAAACCCAGTTTTGCGATGAATCCTAGGACCATCGCCACCGGCATGCCCACTAAGTAAAACGAACCAAGATTGATGTTGGCTCCGATGTTGGGTCTAGCACTGCCTCTCAGAACCCCGCACCCGGTGGTCTGTGGGCAGTTCCCGAGCTCACACAGGCCGGCGATAGGCAATGCGATGGCCGTTAGCTTGAGGATTTCTTCATCGCCGGTGAAGAATCTGCCCCACTGATGCCTCATTACGGTGGTGAAGCCCATAGCCCCCAGGCCCAAGCCGACGGCACAGAAGAGTGAGACGATCATGGAAATGCGCGCTTTTCCTGGGCGGTTGGCGCCTAGTTCGTTCCCCACTCTCGTGGAAACGCCAAGACTTAAGGATGATGGGAAGACATAGACGAGTGAGGTTGTTTGAATCAGAATCCCCATTGATGCAATGGTGGCTTTGGGATTACCCAGAAGGCCGCATAGCATTATCATGAGCTCGTACCACCACCACTCGAGGCACACAGAGACGCAGGTTGGAATCGCAAGAGCAAGAAGAGAAGACCAGCCCTTGAGACAGTCAATGCTAAGAGGGACCCACGAGTCCTTACATACATCGGAGAAGTAGACAAAGGAACAGAGGAAGAGGAAGAGGTTGAGGTTGGTCCAAACCATGGCTATGGCCACACCAGCAATACCCATCTTGAAGTGAACAACCAGAAGGAAATTTAACGGGACATGGAGGAGAACAGAGATGGCTGAGCAATAAGCTAAGGGCAAAGTGATGCTTTGAGTTCTGAGAAAGACACGGAGAGGGTGAAGAAGAGAAAGAAAGAAGAGGTCAGGAATGGAGAAAGAAATGAAAGTTTGTGCGATTGAGGATATGGCCTGGTCTTGACCACACCATAAGAGGATGGTCTTCATGTTGAGCCACATGAAGGAGATAGGTATGGAAGTGGAGAGAAGGAGGAGGACGGTTCTCTGGAGGGTGAGGCCAAGAAGCTTGCCTTGCTTAGCGCCGTGAGCCTGTCCACAAATGGGCTCCATTCCCATTGCTAAACCAGAGAGCACGGAGTAGCCTGTGATGTTGGCGAAGCCAATAGAGAGAGAGCCTCCCGCAAGCTCCATCTCGCCCAGATAGCCCAGGAAAAGCATAGATATCATGGCTCTCGAGTACATGAGCAACCCAGTTATGGCCGTTGGGCCTGATATCCTTCCTATGGCTTTCATTTCTGATACAACCTGAATGCAGAAAACGGAAATCAAAGAGCATGTTAGTTAATGATGAGTAAATATGTTAACAACAACTTCCCAGCTCAGACACAGACTTGAACTAGCTACTTTAGCTATAGTTAACACATTAACACTAATGTGTCATCACCTCATTAGGAGTTGGCCATCTGTGAAGCTCATCTTTATGATGATCCTCGGGAGGACCCATGACTTTGTGGCAAGTTATGAGATTATGGGTTTGTGTTGGACTCGAACAAGATGGCTGCTTGGGATTGCACATGACGACTTGCTAAGCGTAGTTGTGGATAAAAGGGAAATGAAAATGGAAAGGATAAAGAGATATTAAGAGGTTGGAGAATACAAGAACCCCAAGTTGCTAGCTTAGCCTAGTATTGGCTGTGCGTTTTGTTTGTATTGTGTCAGGGAGAAGATGATGGTGTTTGCCTATGGGAAGGGAGGTGAGGGACTGGGTTTATATGCATGAAAGCTTGGGCCCCACCAATGCTTGGAGATGTCATGAAGGAAAATACTAAAATTGGCACAAAAAAAAGGGGGGTGCTAAAGAGAAGGAGAAAGCTTGAACGGAAGAAATGCTTGTTAGTATTGTTGTGTAAATTCATTATATATAACAGGCTTAAAGAAATGACTAGAAAAACGAGTAGAAATGAGTGAAAAATGGAAAAGACGGTTTTATTTATTTATATCTGTCTTTTCAAACACATGACTGCCGAACCATTGCTTGATTACTGAGAATCCTATTTGAAGATGCGGTAGCTCCTCTATATGCTTTTGTAGAGAACAAGCATAATATGTTTCTTTAAATGAGGAAGGTGAGAAAAAGAATATGGGGTGCGGCATCTGAAGAAAGAGGAACAAAGCTAAAGGGGGTAGCGTTGAGTGCGGAGAGGAAACAAGCTTGGTCTTATCCTATATAGAGGACGGTGGTGAAACTGCACAGGGCAAAAAAAAGGAGGAAGTGGATTTATTCGGTTTAATGGTTTCTTAGCCGTCAAACCTATGATTTGTTTGTGTGATAATGATGGATGGGGCTACCAGTGGCTTTAACTCGCTTGGGGTTTATTAATGGTAAGTGGATAATCTTTTAAATCACCACGTTTGGGCTTGGATTTCTGTGTATGGCAACAAAAAGAATTTTATCCTCAAAATGGGAATGACAGGTGGAATGGAGGTGGTGGAGAAGCCAATTCTGCTTCTTGTAAAACCAACCCATTTTATTATTTCTCGTTCGTCTTCTTTCACTTTAGTTTATCAGGTAAGGTTGAGTAATTGTCAAGTATTTATGTGGTTGCGAATATTTGTGCCAATATAAAATTCGAACAAACAAGCCTTTTCCGACTGTGGCCAGCTGGTTCGTAATCTTAAGTGCCTTGCATGTTCTGAGGCAGCCATGCATGTTTCATTCTTCCCCTACCAAAACTGATGAATCCCATCCTCCACACAATTCTCGCGTCTACATACACCCATCTCAAGATACTTGCCCTAATAGAGTTGAAGCAACTTCTCTCCAGAATCCTTTCTTAGGCCCCGCAGTTTCCGGGCATGTTGCCAAGAATGAAGGATTTACTGTATAGAACATGAACACAACAATGCAAATTAGAGTTGATTTACTGACTTCATGCACTCATATTAATCAATCACAAGCAGTTTGCTTGTTATGATGAAACTTGTTGCAGCAGAAGATAAGGGTCAAATCTAGAGGATATATATAATATATAATAAACTTGAAATGAGGCTTTTTACAAACGGAGGTTTATCTTCAAGGGTATATAATAGTAACATGCGGGGAGGTGTTTGATGACATGGATGGGACCACAGGGGGGTCAATGGGCAGATGGCCAGATGGAGAGGAGGCAGATGGGAGATGGGAAGCACTGGAGAGAATAACGTGCTCCACTTACAACCATTTAATTTGCATCATAAAGGGGATCACTCTCACCCTGACTCTGCATATACAAGTGAACACTGGCTATCTCCTTCTGGGACAACAACACCCCCTGTCATCACCAACCACAAACACAGACGAGATTGCAGATAAACTTCTTTTCCCTTTTTTATTTTTTTAATTTTTTCCCCCTCACAGTTTCAGAATCTTCTACGCTCAGTCTTATTTTGTTCTATTGGATATCAATACTGCCTATACACAACCATGACCATCCCATGTCAGATTCCAACTGCCTCTAGCTCAACCAGTTGCTGTGAACCAAAGATATGGATCACGCGACAGAACCAATGCTCAGAAATCAACAATCCAACAGGAGGGGAAAAAGAAAGGCCAGAAATCAGCGTCATCCAAAGAAATAATATGATAATTAAATTGGAATTCCCTTTTACCATTGGCATCCTAGTGGAATGGGCAAGGGATGCTGCATAAGTGGCAGATTCACAGCATAGATACCGTGATGAAAGTATTGCCATCAATCAAAGAAGACGTCTAGAAACAAAGTTTTTTTAGTGGAGATCAAACAGAATCCCCCCACCACCCTAGAAGAGCATGACGAGACATACACGTTTAAAACTTAGACAATAATAATGGTCATGTGACTTTAGAAGCCAGAACAGATTAGCTCGGTGTATCCATCTTAACTCTAACCAAACTTCTTCCCGGCTAAAAGAGGCAGCTACTCCCTGGGGCTCCAAGCAGTAGTCAATTTTCATCATTCTTTATCGTTTAATGGAGTCTACAGTGGGTAAAAATCGTAACATTCGAGTCCACCGCAGAGCAGGAATTAATGCGTACCACAATTTACATGAAGAGGATCCAGGAAACGTACCTACGAATAGAGGTGAACTCTACGTTCCTTCTCAAGTACAATGGTACACTGTCTAATTAAATTCTGCACAGATACAGCCCAGCAATGATATTAATGCAGTTCGCGTAACTAAAAGATGGCCTGTTTATATAATCTGACAAGATAATACGTTCGCCCAACATTTACCACTTCCTCGCCCCAGACATCTCACATACAAATCAAAGCACTAGATAGGAAAATATCGATTTTAGCAGGCTGTCCAGAGGTAAATTCCCTTTGTGCAGTTGCCACGTGATTCAAAGATTGGACAATTAATAGTTTCAACTTTCAACAAGTGATAACCTAAGTGCTCGTGTTGACATTTTTAAATGTTCTTGAAGCGTTTGTAACGAGGCATTGTACGGAAGAATTGAAACCAAATCAGACTACAGTGAGCATCGGAAGTGTCTTAATAAACACAAGAATTTATTCCACGGCTGATGGGAATGCAAAAGAATAGAGAGAGAGTCATGTACACAATTTATGACATTTAAAAGAAATGCGTCACTCACGAACTTTTTTCTTTTCTTTTTTTTTGAAAAAAAGGGACTGTTGGACTCTGTCTCCATCAAGGTTCCCATCCATCAGCACAATTCAAATCGCATATTCACTGTTTACCACTAGGCATACTCACCACAGCAGCATGCACATATATATTATATAATATCAAAATGTATTGGATTCCAATTCGTTGTGATAGAACCACCACCATCGCATAATGAACAACACCTCAGAATTAAAGAATTTTCAGAAGGAATAACTCCCAACCAGCAGCAACTCATCTTTGTTGGAAATGATGCCTCATAGTAACTTTGGAATCAATAGAAAATGCTGCAACAATTTCCCACGGCACATAGCCATAAAGCAACTCTTCCCCAAGAGGGACCGATTTGCAGTGAAATTCTCCACCTACTGCAGATAATCTCCAACTCATTCAATACTTGGAGACGGTATTTATCATTAGATTTGAGTTGCCAGGATGTCAGGAAAAGTAATGCTATATGAATTGCTTGTTTTACGTTGTTCCTTAGACGGGCAGAGTATTCATCCTTTACTAAAACCTGCGGAGGGTCCCTCATAGTATAAACTGCCAAACAATTCTCGCTGTTTTAAAATATACCATTCAATAATTAGGATCACAAAAACTTAAAAAATAAAAATAAAAAGGTGAGTTACCAAAAATTCGATCCAGAAAATGAACGCACTCAAAATTCAGTTCATTGGCTTTAATTAGAGACCAATATGACAGAAATAAACCCCCAAGCATTGAATTATTCGTTAGAAGAGACAGGGAAGGAGAATCTTCATGAAAGAAAGCTCAGGAAAAAGATAACAAAGAAAAATCTATTCGCAAATTCTTTCAACCTGTTCATTTTTCACCATCCCCCTCAGAAAGAAATCAGAAGCAAAAGCATAAAAAATGCGGTACCTCATGTTTGGGTTCTGGGCTTTTGACCACCGGATCGAGGAATAGCCAAGACTGCAATGAGTCCACTAACTAGTGCAGCAATAGCTGCCACAGCAAAGGCTGGGGCATTCCCTCCACCGAATAGCTGATCCCAAGGTCCACTTCCGAGGGACACCACTATCTGTTCAAACATGACAAATGTATAGCTCAGGTAACTACTAAACAAGAAAACCTCCTCAAAGCAACATTGATGAAACATATAAAAATCACTCCTGGGATGTAAGAATACCCCGCTTTAATTAAGGCAAACGTATAACACAGGATCAAAAGTTCTAATCTTTTACTGGATGCAGTATTCATGACATAACATGCATTGAACCCAAATTATTTAATTATAACACATTTATATGATACAATTTTCCAAGGAACATGAAGCAGAGAGCATCACTTCAACTCCGGATGCTATGTTTTAATTCTTTGAAGATTTACATACGCAAGCATGTTTCATTTTATTTATATACTTAGATCAAACCAAAAGCTGTAATACCTGAGGGATCACTATCGCCAAATTTAGGACACCCATTGATAACCCTGTAAGGACCAATAATCAATCTTAAAAATCATACAGTCTCATCTCCAAGAAAGAACAAGTAAGGCCATAAAATAGGAAGCTACCTTGGCCAAGTCCTAGAGACTCAATGTGTGAGGAAATCAACGCGTATGGAACACTGTAAGTGATCTGCAACAATTATTCCGTTAAGTCAATCAAATCGAACCTAGAACCCTCAAATAAGATTTACATCTTCAGCTAATACACTATTGAGATAACAAATTTCAAGTTAAAAATCCAAAAATAATGTAAACTTTCAACATATTCATCATTTACAGGACTCTTACTATGCAATTCTGACAAATGAAGGTACTCAATTTAAAAGGTATTAGCAAGAGGTAGAGCTAAGTCAGAAGATGCATGGGGCCAATCAAGGATGATGATTTCAAAGTCCTTGAATAGTTGAAGAATGTACTGAAGAGAATGTAGCCAAGTCAAGTCAATTAAGACCCTTGGCCACATGAGATCCAAAGCAACCGGTGATTTCAGCATCCCAGTCTTAGTGTAAACGAATCCTCCACTCCCAGCGGTTAGCTGACACTGTAAGCACTCCGCTCTTAATAGCTCATTCCTAAAATTTCAAATTTCACTGTGGACCCTCCATTTTGGCTTACCTAAAATTTATTTTAAAAGGAATCTACCCAAACGAACTTTAAGGCTGCTAATCATTAACAGACTGTAAAGAATGACCATGCAGCATTATATAATCACAAAATAAAACATAAGCAAAAGAAGACATGCTTTTGATCTCGTAAATTAACAAATATCAGGAATTTGGAGTCTTAGGGTATGCTTGGATTGAGAAAAATTGAAAGAAAGGGGAGGAAAGTGAAATTTCAATTTTGACATTTTCCTTGATTTAGAATTAAATACAATTTTTTTAATCTTAAAATATGTTTAAATACCAGAGAATGGACAAGAAGGAGAGAACAAGAACGTTTGTATGAGTCTAAATTGAAGAAAATGTTAAATTTAAAATTTCAATGCCACTTCCTTCTTTTCCAATCTCCTCAATTTAAAAACAACCTTAAAGAAGTGCTTTATTGTCTGTTGTGCACAATATACAACAAAGGAAAAGTTTAATATAAAGTTTTAAGGGTTTTCTATACTGTTTATCATTCTACACTGAATTGTTAGATCCATCCCAGCGTCAATGTAGACCTTAGGAAGAAAGAATATCAATATGCTTCTTGCAGTAGATTATCGTGAGCAACTTACCGACAGAGGAAACCCAAGAATTGTAAAAATGATCAAAGACACAATCACAATGCCAGTTGGTGG